CGAGCCACTCACGCGATTGCTTCGCAAGGGCAAGCGATGGGAGTGAAATTCCGAACAAATTACCGCTTTCGAGAAAATCAGAGCCGATTTGACCACTGCCCCGATTTTTTCGTGCCCAAATTTCGAAGTACCGTTGTCGTGCAGACCGATGCGAGTACCATGGGAGTGGGGGCTATATTGACGCAGACAATCGACGAGGTCGAACGCGTCATCGCGTACGCGAGCCGCGTGCTTACGGACGCGGAAAAGAAATACAGCACCACGGAATTCGAATGTTTAGCGGTCGTCGATAAAGAAATTCCTACCGTATTTGGAAAGCTACCGCTTTACCGTGATTACCGATCACAGCAGCTTAAGATGGCTTCACAATTTGAGTAACCCCACGGGTCGACTTGCACGCTGGGCTTTAGAGCTTCTAGAATATGATTACGAGATCGTGCATAGAAAGGGAGCTCTACATCACATTCCCGACGCGTTGTCGCGTATGTTCGAGGGGGATTCCGAGACCCCCACGACGACCGCGGCAGTGAGTGAAGGACACGATCCCGAAGCGAATAGAGAGTCGGAGGAAAACGAAACCTCCGACGAATGGTACCGAAAACGTTATCGTGAAGTCTCGAAAGACCCGAGATGGTTTCCGACGTGGCGGATTATCGATCGTCAACTGTATTTTTTGCGGCCGACTAAAATGATCTCGGATTTAGTGGAGGATCTCGATCGATGGAAGTTAGTATTACCGGGCGAATCGCGGGACGAGGCGCTCGAGAAATCCCACGGTCATCCTCAAGTAGATCATTTAGGCGCCGAGAAGACGTATTATCGTCTCGCGGTCGCCTATTATTGGCCCAATATGTTTCGCGATACCGCAAATTTTGTGAGAAAGTGTGAAGTCTGTCAGCGGACTAAGGTGAACCAGCAGGCCGCTGCCGGCCTGATGGGGCGAAGGGTCGTCGAAAAGCCCTGGACAGTGGTCGCTGCCGATATAATGGGCCCGTTGCCCCGCAGCCGAGCCGGTTACTCCTATCTTGGTAATTCAAGATTTATTCTCGAAATGGATGGAGTGCCAGCCCTTGTGGAGCGCGAATGGAAAGCTCATTCGGGCAGCTCTTGACGACCTTGTGATATCGCACTGGGGAACACCGAAAATCCTTGTTGACAGACAACGGTACCAAATTCGTGAACAAAGATATCGAGCAATTCGCGACAATCGAATCCATCACAGTACCGTGCCGTCTTATCATCCGCAAGCCAATCCGGTCGAGCGGGTGAACAGAATATTAAAAATGATGATCGTGGCTTTCCTCGGAGACGACCACCGCGAGTAGGACGCGCATCTTACCGATTTCCGTTTCGCGTATAATTCCGCATACCACTCCTCGATAGGACTTCCCCCACGTTCCTCAATCTCGGGCGCGAATTAGAGCCGCGGCGCGTCGTGAGGAGTCGGGGGGAAGGAAACATCGAGATCGAGCGACGAGATCCGGCGGAGTGGTCGGTTAGAATGAAACGATTAGCGGAACTGTATTCGTGGGTTGCGGAAAATCTCGAGGCAGCGTACCAATGACAGTTCGCGTGATACAATCTGCGGAGGCGTCCCGTGACGTATAAGAAGGGGGACTTGGTGTGGAAGCGGCAACATGTGCTCTCGTCCGCGGCTCATCACAATGTTTTGAACGCATTTTAATTAATACCACAATATAAAATAATTCAGAAACTATTAATACATAAATGCGAGCCGCCGGACATTTCTTTTTATTGGTAACATACAGGGTGTCTAAAAATACTGGAACTACTGGAAATATTGGAAAATACCGGATAACTTTGTAGGATCAAGTTTTCACGAAAAACTTTGAATAAACAAGTTGTAGAAAATCGAGTAACAGACTTGATGGTAACCTTGAATTTAACCTTAGCCATGACCTTCAAGGTCACTTGAAGATCAACTTGCGTTTTTAAATGGGAACCCTTATCTTTATCACACTGCTTTCTTTTACCGCTTAATTTGAACAACTTTTGTTTAAAACATGTTTTTATTTGCCTAATATTTTTTAAGATATTTGAGGAAAACTTGATAACTTTTTCAATATTTAACTTACGATATCTCGCTAACTATTTGCCAGAAGAAAAAGTGGTACTAGATTTTCTTGCTTTATTTAGTCTCGAGAATATATTGTTACAATAGCACCCTGACTTTTGTTAACTTACTGATTTTTGGAAATTTAAAAATCATCAAATAGTACCACTTTCTCTTCCGATAAATAGTTAGCGAGATATCGTAAGTTAAATATTGAAAAAGTTATCAAGTTTTCCTCAAATATCTCAAAAAATATTAGGCAAATAAAAATATGTTTTAGACAAAAGTTGTTCAAATTAACCCTTTAACTGCTGAGATATTAAATAACCAGTATGACCCTTTTTGCTGAGTTATTTTTACAGTTATACAATATTTTATAATTTGCTGATGATCCAGACTTTCACAAATTCACATTTTCAAATTTAAAAGAAATACCACACGCAATACCACACACATTGAAAATCCAAATCGAATAAACTCGATCGTAGCAAGGCCGCCATTTTTTCCATACTCGAGTTATCTCGACCGTAGCAGTTAAAGGGTTAATTGGTAGAAAAAAACAGTGTAATAAAAAATAAGGGTTCCCATTTAAAAAACGCAAGTTGACCTCCAAATGACCTTGAAGGTCATGGCCAAGGTCAAATTCAAGGTCACCTTTAAGTCCGTTACTCGATTTTCTACAACTTTTGTATTTAAAGTTTTTCATGAAAACTTGATCCTGCAAAGTTATCCGGGAATTCCGGTATTTTTAAGACACCCTGTATATTCCACATCACATTATTTTTAAGTATATTTATTATAACAGACTAGAAAGATATGCATGTAAGTTTATACTGACATATTATACATATGTATATAGAGCCATCACAATTTTAAATATTTATCAATGTCCAGGTATGTGCTTACTTCGCAATAGTACGGTGTCTTCCACACACCATGCTGTATAATATTCAATAAATTACACAGCCCCACAAAAAAAAAGTAGTCGGTACCTAAAACCGGACAAGTATATTCCAATATTTTGATCCGCTGAATCCGAATCCGAAATCAGAATTGGACAATTGCTAGCTTTATCGTTCCTAACCTCAAAAAACTGATCATAGCTTCACTTAACAAAATTAAGCTGTGTATCGTTAAAATTCAGTTTAAAAAATGCTACAATTCTTGTCATTACAAAAATTTTCAGTTTGCAAAAATAAAGATGGTGGGAGGGGGATATAAAAAATATAATATTTTTAAGAAATCTAACTAAACAGTTGTAAGGATCATCAAAAACCATACAACTTTTATCTAAAACATTTTTTTGTATCTTATATAATTTTCGAAATATACTCTCTCAAAACCAGGTATACCGATATACCTTGTAAGGGTGATTTTAACCCCTAAATATGAAGTTGGGCACGTATAAAAAAATACGTGTCTCTTATTTTTAGCTACTCCACAATATATAATATTGTTACGGCATTGAAATATTGATTAGACAGAAGACGGATAGCGAGCGGCGGCCTGGTTAACAACAACCCAGCTGTTGCTGGGTTGTTGTTAACAACGAGAGAAAGAAACAAGAGTCGGGAGAAGACCTCCGAGTTGTAAAGACGTAGCGAGTTCAATTAAACCGTTCTTTTATAAACTGCCTTCTTGTTATTTCCCCGCGCGTGCGCATAGCGTAACAATATTATATTATTAGGTGTACAAATGAACAATCTAATTTTTTCAGCTACATTCAAGGTTTATTTTAAAAGAAAGTAAATTAAATTGTTCAATCAAAGTATTCGCCGTTGCTTTTTATAACTTTAAACCATCTTTCAGGCAGCTGATGAATTCCATCTCGGAAAAATGTTACGTCTTTGGACACGAAAAGTCGTCAAGCCATTTTCGGATCTCATCCACTGATTGGAAGTGCATATCGGATAAGGCGTGTTGCATCGACCGGAACAAGTGGATGGAGCAATCGGATGGAGCAATGTCTGGTGAATACGCCGGTTGCTGCAAGACGTCCCAGCCAAGACTCATTATGGTTTTTTTGTATTGGAAGCAATGTGTGGCCTGGCGTTGTCATGCAACAATTTCACTGGATGTTCTCCTTTGCCAGTATACGGGCGTTTTCGTTCCAATTCTTGACTCAAGCAGATTAATTGACGTTGGTAGCAGTCTGCAGTAACTGTTTCACCGGGTTCCAATAACTCATAATAAAGCACGCCCTGGATATCCCACCAAATGCAAAGAAGAACCTTCTTTCCGAAGCGATTGGGTTTTACGACCGATTTTGATGATTCGCTGGGATTTACCCATGACTTTCTGCGTTTCGGATTGTCATAGAGTATCCACCCAGCAAACAAAGTCACGTCGAAACGACGTCGAAAACAGGTCATTATTGGACGAATGACGTCGAATGACCAAATAACGACGTATTTAAGACGTCCTTTTTATGACGTCGTAATTACGTGTTTGTACAACGTCTTAATGACGAATTCTTGACGTTTAGAGAACGTCATAAAGATGTCATAAAATTTCGTCATTGGTCTGTACGTCTAACAAACATAACAGGGAGTTTTCGCAATACCGTCACTCAGATACGGTAAACACAATTCGTGAACGTTATTGGTCGAGCACGTTAAAACGTTATTTCTAAGCCAATAACGTTCACGAATTATGTTTACCGTATCTGAAGAACAGTTTTGCGAAAACTCCCTAATGATGTGTCATTGACGTGAAAAATACGTAAATTAAGACTAATGACCTCAATTGATCTAAACATAAAGTAATAAGGCCCTGAAGGTAATAATACGCAGCCGGCACATTCGTTATTTTAACATCATTTTCTTGTCATAGATGTCTTTTGGACTTTTGTGCCGGTTGGTTAAAAAGCGTAACTTACACGGAAAAATCGAATTATTCTACTATATTCTTTTTTACATGATTCTATATTTTATAACATCTGAAATAATTGTCATTGCAAAGCATCGCGTATACACGTTCCTTCCTTCCTTCAATATGTTGGCTCTCGGAACCAATAATATGTGTTCCCCAACACCATTCAATACGCGCATATATACGTTCAGCAGCGCCACTAACAAGAACAGACTAGTGACTATATGATAGGTTCACATCTCACGATTCGTTCACATCTCACGATTCTTTCACATATTGCTCGAGGTAACGACAATTTTCCATGGAGTTCAGTTGTCGTTTTGATTCGTTGTTGGGATTATATTAACATAGCTGTATATTGTGATTAAGACGGTTAAGAAGATATTCACTCAAGAAAGTGTTGGTCACTGTACTATGTATGTATAAAAGAAGTATTTTGAGATTGTTAACCTCTCTTAAAAAAACATTTATAGACTCTTTGTATTAATGTTTAAAGCATGGCATTTGTCGGCGTAGAATTCGCTAACGAAGATTCGGCAAATAACAATACGGAAGTAGCAATTGTGAACATACGCTGGTTTACTCCTAACAAAACTAATGTATTTTGGCCACCTGTAAAATCACAAGATAGATATAAGAAATTATTGAAACAAGGAGCAACGCCAACTAATGAATGGTCGTTATGTCAAGTAACAAAAACTTATTTTGAAACCGGTAAGTAACTTAACCTCGATATATAGTACAAGATTTTATTATAATCTCATTGAAATTTTATACTATAAGTACTCATCTGGATAGTACAAGATCTCCAGAGAATGTCTTTAGAACGTTCTTGGAACATAGGAATGTTCTCAGAACATTTTAGAATGTTCTGTGAAGATTTGTGCTATATGGGCAAATTCCTATCGTAATTCCTATCGTAATTCCTATCGTAATTTGTATGCGTATAATATATACATATATATATATATATATATATATATATATATATATATATATATATATATACATGGATTTATGAATTTGTGTTCTGCTTGCAGATGATTTCAAGAAAACTGAACAAAAAATAAAACTGTGTCAATATTTATCAGATGTAGCGACTGACGTAGAACCTGTTTTAGATATTCCAAGTAAGAGACAGCGGAATAAGCCTTCTAGATATATCAGCGACTCATCGGATGAAGAAAATACACCAGTACCATCGAAACTTAAAGCTCCTCCTAGACTTAATAATATATTTACAAGTTGCAGTCAAGTAATCCGTCAGGTAATAGTACTGTAATTTTACATTATTTTACTTTCGGTACTTATATATTTTTTCCATAGCGTTCATTGATTTTAGATAAAGTATTAGTAAACTCAATTCATCCAAAAACAAATAATAAACCTACAACGAGTCATTTGGTACAACCAAGTCATAAACATTCAGTGATTCAAAGAAATTCTGTACCTGTTATAAATAAATTATAATACCTGTTATTATTAATTAACCTGTTATAAATAGTATAAATGAGGTACCTCTAACTGACGTGAACGGAAATCCCACTGATATAAACGCTACACTTGCATTTATAAAACGACAGAATACAGATATTTACAATCAAAACGATCAAATATCCCAAGCTTTAAAGGCCACTAACAATTCCATTGTAACGGTATCCAAATCTAATGAAATACCACAACTGCCTTGTACTCTATCAATAACCACATTTGAAGATATTACCCGATTGGAGGAATACCTTAAAAAAGAAGAAAATATCTCGCCTCTGGTAAAATAAGTAATTGCGCGTGAAAATTTAACAAGTTGCTCATATTGAATAGTTTTATATTGTTAATAAATTATTTACGTTTTAGGCTTCTTATCTGTCGACGATTGGAGGTCGCGGAGATGTAACATCAATAACAAACCGTATACTTCGTCGACTTCTTTCAAATAAAATTGCATCGTTTTATAGCTTCCTCGGAAAACGAAACAAAAAGGCATTTGCTCATTTGAAACTCAATAATGTATTGATGAAATCTGTTCTATTGGCTCTACCTAGTAGTACGCAACACGAAATAGAAAACAGCGTAAAAGAATGGTTAAAGCATGCCCCACAACGCTCTTCCCTTAAGACAAAGAAGGATAAATAAGGGTTTATATATATATATATAAGATGTTCTACTCCTACATATATCCTTGTCTGTGATTGTAGAGAAAAACTGTTAGCAATTTGACGAAAGAAAATTTGCGTTATGTTTATTTGCATAATGTTTTATGTTTGTGTATGATAACTACATTCACTGTTACATTTATTACTTAAGTAATAAGATACAAATTGCAGTAATATGTCTGCTATAATGAAAAGAAAAGTCAAACTGTTTGTAGGAAAACGGCAATTTTATCGAAAAGTTGCTACAGACGTAATTGCTAGAGACGCTAACTCAATGCATGTAATTCTTAATCTATTAGACAAACAAAAATGTGATGCCGAGTTATCCAATATGTCGATGAATACATTGTCTTTTGAAGACGATTCTTGCTCTGAAAGCAATAATGATATTTTGGAAATTTCAAATAATAATATATTAATTCCTAACAACTTAACCATAAATGAAAATTCGAATCTTGATTTCATTGGAAACGTTATACTTGACGAAAATAATCCTAACGTAACAGATACTACAGAAAATAATCCTAACGAAGCGGATACTACTGAAAATCTAGTAGAAAATCATAAAGAAAATAACTTTTCTATCGTGGATTGCTTAAGAACTTGGGCTGTTTCGAATCCAGATGTATCACAATCTTCATTTACATCATTACTTCATTTATTACATAAATTTCATCCCACATTGCCTGTTGATGCAAGAACGCTTTTGAAAACTTCTTCAAAATTTCATATTCAAGAATTAGAAACAGGACAATTTGTTTACTTTGGAATAAAAAAAGCTATAATCCGGCACGCTTCACAACTTGTGAATTTAGATACAATAAAGTTAAAATTTAATATACAGGGTGTTCCGCAGCAACATATACAAAATTCGTGGAGGCCTAGCACGGCTTGAGATGAGCATAAAAGTCCCATACCGTTTTGCGATAATCGTAATAGTTTTCGAGAAATTAATTAAAAACGTCCAGCAATAGCGTCCGCCGAGATATGTAAGAGTCGAGCCGCCCGAGTTTCAGGCCGGCCCACTCTACCCATAAGTAGACACCGGCGCGCGGCGAGGGGAGAAACAACAGACCACTGCCCGCGCTTGCGAGGCTTCTCCTCCTACGTCTTGCCGCACCGCTCCGCACCGCTCCGCACCGCTCCGCACCGCTCCGCACCGCACCGAACCTCGCAACGATATCGCCGAGCCGCGAACGTTCGCGATTACAATTACGATTACTTAATAAGAGAGCAAAAATGGCTCCAATTATTGAAACAGTTATAAGCAATGTGTGATAAAAAAGAATGGAAAGAGTGAAAGCGATGGAAACCGATAGAGTGTGCAGACAATCTAATTATTTTCTGTCGTAATCTATCGTTCGCTATTAGAAGAGTATTCAATCGTTCGTTCGTATCGAAATATGATAGAATTTATACAGAGACTTTACGCGTCCTATCGTTTTATTGGACTCTATTATGAATAATTCACTGAAAATGTGTCGTAATTAATAGGTGCATAAACGATAGGTGAAACTTGTAGTTCTCTATCGCATACGTACGAAAGGAAATACATCGTTGTCAATCGTGTATTAAATTAAAAGTTGTACGCATTACTAAAGAACTGAATTTAATATTTTTTTCTTTTCTACTAAACGTTTTGAATTTCTTACATATGCTGTCATTTCGTTTGCATAAAGTAGGAGAAAAAATAACAAATTTGACAACGATAGGTTTCCTTTCGTACGTATGCGATAGAGAACTACAATTCACCTATCGTTTATGCACCCATTGATTACGACAGATTTTCAGTGATCTATTCATAATAGAGTCCAATAAAACGATAGGACGCGTAAAGTCTCTGTATAAATTCTATCATATTTCGATACGAACGAACGATTGAATACTCTTCTAATAGCGAACGATAGATTACGACAGAAAATAATTAGATTGTCTGCACACTCTATCGGTTTCCATCGTTTTCACTCTTTCCATTCTTTTTTATCACACATTGCTTATAACTGTTTCAATAATTCGAGCCATTTTTGCTCTCTTATTAAGTAATCGTAATTGTAATCGCGAACGTTCGCGGCTCGGCGATATTGTTGCGAGGTTCGGTGCGGTGCGGAGCGGTGCGGAGCGGTGCGGCAAGACGTAGGAGGAGAAGCCTCGCAAGCGCGGGCAGTGGTCTGTTGTTTCTCCCCTCGCCGCGCGCCAGTGTCTACTTATGGGTAGAGTGGGCCGGCCTGAAACTCGGGCGGCTCGACTCTTACATATCTCGGCGGACGCTATTGCTGGACGTTTTTAATTAATTTCTCGAAAACTATTACGATTATCGCAAAACGGTATGGGACTTTTACGCTCATCTCAAGCCGTGCTAGGCCTCCACGAATTTTGTATATGTTGCTGCGGAACACCCTGTAGATGGGTTGCCGTTGTTTAAAAGTTGCAATATGCAACTGTGGCCAATTTTGGCTTTAATTCAGAATTCAAAATCGAAAACACCATTTCCAGTTGGAATGTTTTGTGGGACATCAAAGCCTCGACCACTCTCAAGCTTTTTAAATGATTTCGTAAATTGTTCGGAAATGCGCAGGCAATGACATAACATCCCGTTGCCACAAGCAGCATCATGATTGTCATCAGGTCGCGGCCGAGTGGCGGACAGCCTGGCTCCCGTTGGTTTCTCGCAGGCGAGCACGCGGCGCTCCCGCCGACGCTCCGCGCGTGGCCACTAGTGCCGTTCGCGGCCGCTACATGACGCGCTCACTAGTTCCGCTGCTCGCAGCTACGAATCGGCTGTCCGGGTGATATAACCAAGCGCGATCACGAGTAGCGTGCCTTCGCATGTCCCAACGCCGATTATGGCAATCCCTGATATTTGGTCTGTGCGACTAGTAGCGCCTGTCTTTACCGACGTCCTCTCTAGGCTTTCCTAGAGCAGTTTTAGTGCTTAGTCGAGATTCAAACCAACGCACTCTACACTCTGCTGAGTTGACTGCGGTGCTCATATACCCTGCTGGGTTGAGGCTTTATGGTTGAAATCTTCTGTGTTCAGCTGTGAGTTCCCTGCGTTGCCACGCTTCAGGAGCGGGCTTTGGTCGCCTCCGTGTGGGACAGGGGAACTCTCTTTTTCCAAGCGTCCATCTAGGAACTTGGCTTTCAGGAGTGGTGGTACCGTCTCCTTTCGGAGTTTGCGAACTCTCTCTCTCATTTCCAAGCATATCCGTCAAGGGTCTTGGCGATTTGACCAGCGACGCGATCGCGTCTTTGAGCGCACGCTGAGCTCTCTCTTCACGCGTCCACAGGACATCGGCGCTTCGCCGCAAGAACGACTCAGTCGCCTCTAGCGTGACAGAGCTCAGCATTTTCGTTTGCTAGGCCACAGTTTCCGTTCTACCGGTGGCATCTTGCTGGCCGTTGAGTCCGAAAGGGCAGGCCTTCTGAAACGACGGAGGTCGTTTCACATTAGCGCTCGTCGATCTAATTCGTACGAGCGTTGCTCGGGTTTCTCGGTTCGGATTTACGACCCGAAAAGGCCGCACGAGATCCGAGTCTACTAGCATCTCTAACTCCGATCCTTCTGACAAGGATGTTCTGGCATCCCTGCGTCACGGCCGTTCAACCACCTGACGCGGCAACATAAATGAATTATCACTATTATTGAAAAATGGTTTCACATTGTTCGAAAGACATTACAATGTTGTAGTACATTCGTTTATATGCGATGCGCCAGCTCGCGCATTCATAAAATGTATTAAGTCGCATCAAGGATACTCAAGTTGTGAAAAATGCACCGAATCAGGAGAATATGTCAAAAGTCGAGTCATTTTAAGAAATATAAATATGCCGTTACGAACAGACGAATCTTTTCGTCTCTAAATCGACGAGGATCATCACACAGGCATTTCTCCGTTATTAAAATTAAATATCGGACTTGTTAGTTTATTCCCCATTGATTATATGCACAATATATGTTTAGAGGGGGGGGGAACAACTCGAAAGTTGTTAAATTGGTGGATTAATGGCGATTGTAAAGTTCGATTGTCATCTTATTTAGTCAAATGTTTATCAGAAAAAATGATTTCTTTACACAATAACGTTCCCAATGAAATCAACCGAAAACCGCGATCTTTAGACGAGTTATCTCGTTTTAAAGCTACAGAATTTAGAA